TGAGGTTGTTAACCACTGTCATGGGGCAACGTGTACTAATTGTTAAATGAGAAACTATTTTGTTCTGTAAGCCTTCATCTAAATTGAGAATAGCAGCACAATTGGAAGAGCGTAGTCGATGTCACTGAACTGTGCATGTAGAAATTTTTGAAATGGTGTATCTTTGGCTATGTATACTCTCACCAAAAAAAAAAAGGTCAAGAAGGGAGGGGGTTGAGATGTCGTGGTGTTGTTAACCGATGTCATAAAACAATATGTGTACTACTGTTTCATGAGAAACTACTTGTTCTGTAAGCCCTCACCTGAAGTACAATAAAAAATTAAAAAAAAAAAAATAGTGTTCTTAGAACATGAGAGGGAAACCTCATGCTGAGATGGGCAGAGGAACAAGACACAGGATGCCAGATACCTGATATTTGTGCAGCTGCCACACCAACCCTGGACTAATTGCATCAGCTTTGTTTATGTCAGAGAGAAATAAATTTCTATACTGTTTAAACTATCATTGTGTGTGATTATTCTGTCATTTGCAGCTAAACTTAATCCTGACTAGTAGCTAAAAAATGCCTACTTGTATTATCTTACCACTGTTGCTAGACCACAGTATAATATTCCTATCACTCTAAAATTTACTGACACAGCTCATTCACATAGTCATGCACAATAAATATTTACTGATATATACGGTTTATATCTATAGAAGTTCTTGGCACGTTTCTGCTTCAGAGGCTTTTCACTTATTTTCACTACCTAGAGCCACCAGACTTCAGATACAATATCTGCATGGCTCACTTCCTCACCTTCTTTAAGTTTCTGTTCAAGTAGCTCCTCGATGCTTTTGCCTCAGTATCTAAATTGCAACCCCACTCCCAACCATCACCACCACATTACACTTACACACGCACACAACAAACACTCTCTTGCCATTTCTCCATTACATCTTTTTTTTTTTATCTTCAGCAGTTATAATAAACATATCCATGAATTTATTATCTGCAGTAGTGCTACACTGATCAAAATTTTATTATGTTGCATTCTTTGCTAATAATAAGAAATAAAACAATCAATTATATCATCAGTTTTCCTTTCCTTCATATAACCAGTCTGATAATAGAGGGTCTTATGATTTTCAGCAGAGAAGAAAATGATAGAAAACACTGCCTTCATTTACAAATTTAAACACTGGTAATATCTATAAAAGGAGCCCTGGTAGTGCAATGCTTACAAGTTTGGCTGCTAACTGAAAGGTTGGTGATCTGAATCTACCTAGCGGCTCTGTAGGAGAAAGATCTGATGATCTGCTCCCATAAAGATTTGTTGTTGTTAGGTGCTATCGAGTTGATTTATGACTCACAGGTACTCCATGCGACAGATCAGAACTGCCTCATAGGATTTCCTAGGCTTTAATTTTTATGGGAGCAAGTTGCCAGA